TAGTCTCTATGGTTTCATTTCATCATCCTGTTAATCGTCGATTGCCTCGAGCAGGCCCCAGTAACGTCTCTTTCATCCTAGCCCTGAGATTATATTCACGGCTCTTTAGGAGAATGAGACCCATCATTGTTACTGGTATTTGGCATATTTGGTAGGCCATGGGGAGTTTGCCAGACTCTGCCCTGTGGGCAGGTTACATTCGGATAGCCTGCAAGTTTGTCCAAAGTAGGAATGAGGTAATAAGATGTCACGCGGCATAAGATGTCTCTATGGTATGAGATAATATCTCATTATTGTAATAACCAAATTTAAAAGGTGCCTGTCAAGATGGTAGGCTGGAGCTAGGGTGGGAGGTAGAAGAGGGAAACTGGGAACGCTGGTGGAAGGAAGTTGACACTGGTGGCGGGATTGGTGATGGTACATTGTATGTCAAAAATCCAACTATGAATAACTTTGTAATTCACGATGCTTTAATAAAATTTTGAAAAACAAGAAGTTTCCAATCCTAATGCTTGTAATCTCCAAGCCTCAGCCTATTCATTGTCCCTCCACTATTTTGTGTCTAAAATAAAATTAATTCTAGCTTGCTTTTCAAGCTTGTGTACTCCCTTGAACATGTAACTCACTTGCTTGTCTCTAAGCTTCTTTGCTTTTACCACTCTGGAAAAAACTATATTCTTTTGAATGTACACTTTCTTTCTCTGAAGTCTTTCTAAGCAAGTTTTATTCAATAAAACCTATCTTGTAGTTTTTATTTTCAATTTTTTTAAATTTTTATTAGTGAAACACCATGAGGTACAGTTGTAGACTTACAAATTTTTGTGCTTGGGTTTCAGTTATACAATGATCGAGTACCCGTCCCTCCACCAGTGCCCATTCTCCACCATCACGAATCCCAGTATCCCTCCCACCCCCTCATCCCCCCATCCCACCCTGCCTCTGTGGCAGGGCATTCCCTTTTGTTCTCTCTCTCCTTTTGGGTGTTGTGGTTTGCAAAAGAAGCATCGAGTGACAATCATGTTCGGTCTATAGTCTACTTTCAGTGTGCATCTCCCATCCTGGGAGGATCCTCCCAACACCCTTTATTTGGTGCTCCCTTCTCTATCTGAGCTGTCTTTTCCCCTAGCATGTGCGGCTATCCTCCAAGCCATAGAGTAAACTTCCTGGTACTTATCTTGGCTATTCTTGGGAGTTAGTCTTCGATTTTGTTACTTTATGTTCCCCAGATGAATGCAATCTTTCTATGTCTGTTCTTTCTTTCTGACTCATTTCACTTAGCATGATACTTTCTTGGTAGTACCACTTATATGTAAATTTCATGACTTCATCTTTTCTAACAGCTACATAGTACTCCATTATGTAGATGTACCAAAGTTGGTAGATAGTTTTTAGATACATCCAATAAAAACTATCTTGGTAGATAGTTTTTAGATAATAGATCGTAAAGAGATAGTACAGCAGGAAGGGTGCCTGCCTTGCACGCTGCAAAGCCTCGTTTCATTCCCAGCATCCTATATAGTCCCCTGAGCACCGCCAGGATGATTCCTGAGTGCAGAGCCAGGAGTAACCCCTGAGTATTGCCAGCTGTGGACTCAATACACCAAAAAAAACAAAAAAAAGAAAGAAAGAAAAGAGAAAGAGAAAGAAAGAAAGAACCAAAATGCTCCTATCTTGCTTCACTGAAAAAAACAAAACAAAACAAACAAACAAAAAAAAAAAACAGAATTCTGTGCCTACAATAAGAACATCAGACTCTTATTCACATCTTTTTAAAATTTTTGATATCATACTTTCTAATTTGATTTTCTCTCCTGGATTTTATTTTTTGAAATTTTATCTTATCAAAGCCCATGATTTACAAAGTTATTCATAGTTGAGTTTTAGGCTTACAATGTTCCAGCACCAACTCCCACCTTCCCTCACATACCCCCCCAACTCCCAGCCTACCATCCTGATAGACATCTTTTTTAAGTTTTCTAATATCTTTTAAAGGTTTTTAAATACATTATGTAATGTTTATCCTTTGAAAATTGTTGAGTTCAAATAAGTGTTTACAGCAAGTCATCTTAAATATTTATATTGTCTTGACGTAATGACACTACACTGTGTGTTGTGGAGTCTCTTTTGCTATATTGAGACTTCGCGGTGAAAACAAGCAGTCTGACTCAGCAGTTCTGATAGGAAGAGGAAACTGGAGCCGTGTGCTGGGAGCAACTGACCCCCACCCCTCAGCGCTCGGAGACTGTTGCTCATTGTGGAGAGATAGCTGGAATTTTAAAATTAAAGCTGGGAAGTAGCTCTGTGGTAAATTACTTGCCTTCACGTGTGAGGCCCTGAGTTTGACTCCAGGCATGGGCATAGTCCTCTGAGAATCACCTGGAACAACCTTCTTAGCACCTTACAGGGCGTGTAGCACCTAAGCCTAGCTGGGTGGGTGGGTGCCACTCAAAAAAACAAAAGCTCAGGGGCTAGAGTGATAGGACAGCGAATAGTAGGCTTGCCTTGCATAAGGTCAACCATGGTTCAATTCTTGGCACCACATATGGTCCCCCAAGCAGAGCCCGGAGGAAGTCCTGAGCACCACCAGGCGTGGCCCCCAAATAAACAAACAAAAAAACCCCCCAAAGTTCAGCAGTGCAACACCTGCCTTGCATGGGTGAGGCCCTGGGTTTGATCCCTGGCATGGCAAAAAAAAAAAAAAAAAAAAAAAAAACTAGAGAACAAGTTAAATATTTGTGTGGAGAGGGAGAGTCAGAACACTGCACAACAAATTAAACTGAGATAATTTCCCTGCCTGATGCTTTAACCCCTCCCAACTGCCCTCGTCCTTAGCAGATAACATGGGGTTTCTTGATGGTGAACCGTGGACCCTGATCAGGACCCCTATTCTCAGATAAATGATTATCTTTGGATTATATTACAGCCTGATTATTCTTTCTGTTGGACACTACAAATAAATGTCACCATTAATTAGTTAAATTTTTTTACTTTAGAATGCTTTATAATTTACAAATTTTAAATTATAATGATTTGTAGGGCTGGAGCAATAGCACAGCAGGTAGGGTGTTTCCCTTGCACGAGACCAACTGGATTCAATTCCTCCGTCCCTCTCGGAGAGCCCAGCAAGCTACCAAGAGTATCTCGCCCGCACAGCAGAGCCTGGCAAGCTTCCCGTGACATATTCTATATGCCAAACACAGTAACAACAAGTCTCACAATGGAGACGTTACTGGTGCCCACTCGAGCAAATCGATGAAAAATGGGAGGGCAGCACTAATGATTTTTAATGCTGCTATAAGTGAAAAGATAGGGTCTCATACTTCCGATGTTCCACCCCCACATCGTCCACATCCTCCAGGGTGTTTGCACATATTCACCCTATGAACACACCCACCTCTCCCTACCACCATCAACAGATAAGGCTCTGTTCTTTAGACCAGTTCTAAGGTCCAATTGCTTTTGACAATTTGTTGTCACTGTTGATTTTAAAACCATACTGGAAGTTCTACTTCCAAATGCCTATGTTTGAAGGTGGCATCATACTAACTCTGAATTTATGACCTGAAAGTTTAAAAACCTTGAATTGAGTATAAGGCAGTTTTTCATAGTTTCAGTCTCCGTAACACTTCTAAAGATATATTTGAAAAATTCTTCCCTTACTACCCCCTTTCTCCTCAAATATTTTAAACAGGGCCCTGGTTTCATTCAAGTTCACTCTGCCTGCAGCCCCTCTGGAAAAAGGTCTGAAATTTACTCACACTGAAAAGGCAGGAGCCTGCTAACAGCTGAATGCAAAACCCTGCAGGAGGATGCCCCTGCCTGGTTCCTGCATCAGATTTGTTCACATAATCTCCCCAAATCTGTTTCCACAAATGGAAAAGTATTTGTAATTAATCCTAAAATCCATTCCAGGTCAGGGTATCTTCTTTAGGGATGTTTGCAATTGCATGCATTACCTTGCTCAGTTTAATGTGGCTTATGAGATGACATGATAATCAGAATGTTACTTCAATACTTATTCATTAAATAATGATTTCCTACTCCATGTCAGACACTGTATCGGTTTTCATAGAGATCGACAAGGAGATATGAAAGAACTGAGGAAGACAAAGAGTGTTAGGGACATCAGAGGGTGTGATGATTGAGTTACGCTTTTTCAGTACAGCAGAAATTTCGGAAAGTTGGGTGAGAAAACAAAATCTTTAAAGAATGGTGAACCCAGGATGGAGTGATAAGTCCAGTAGGGAGGGCGTTTGCTTCGCATGCAGCCAACCGGGGTTCAATTCTCAGCATTCCATATGGTCCCCCGAGCACTGCCAGGAGTAATTTCTGAGTGCATGAGCTAGGAGTAACCCCTAAACAACATTGGGTATGACCCATAAAGCAAAAAAAAAAAAAAAAGTGAAATTGCATTTCAACTCCTTGGGGGTAACCTGTAAAGAGTCAAATCGCAGAGTCTTTCCACTTTTGCCCTTCGGGGACACCCTCGAAGGAGCACCCCGGGGGGCACAAATGCCCAGTGGGCACCGCTAGAGGCAAAAGTGGCATCGAAGCCCGGGCGAACCAGCACTCGGCCGCCTCGGAGCACAGTGCCCAGAAATGAAGCATGTGGGGGAGGGGGAGGTGGGGGGGGCGGTGAATCAACTAATTAACATTCATCCAAAAGCGAGAAGACAAAACGATCCCCGGGGACGCTGGTAAACGCACAGTAACGTGCGCGCGCAGCGGCACAGCGCCCTCTTCCGGCTCCTCAACCTCTCCGGCCGCTTCCGTCACGATCCTGCGCCCCGCCCCGCCCCGCCCAGGATCGCGAGACTAGGCCCCCCCCTCCCGGCCTGTCCCTTAAAGCGCCCCACGGAACTGAACTTTCTCCTCCTCTTGGTTCCTACCCGGACCGACGTTGGCCGGAAGCGTGCCTTCCGGGGCGGAAGTCCCGCCGCCTCGCGCCGCGCGAGAGCATCCTGGGAGCCGGAAGCCGGGACCCGTTCCTGCCGCCGGCCGCCTACCCTAAGCGGCCGCACACTCGCGTGGGTGGACCGCGTGCGTGGCCCGGACACGGGGGAGCACCGGTGCCCGAGAGTCCGCGTGACCGGCGTGGACCCCGAAACTGCGAGCCATCATGGTAGGGAGATCGCGGCGGCGCGGAGCAGCCAAGTGGGCGGCGGTGCGAGCCCAGGCGGGGGGCGGCCTGGAGGACCCGGACGACCTCGAGGCGCCCCCCTCGCCCGGCGACTCCAGCTACTACCAGGATAAGGTAGATGACTTCCACGAGGCCCGCTCCCGGGCCGCCCTGGCCAAGGGGTGGGGCGAGATGGAGAGCGCAGACGAGGAGGAGGATGGCGAGGAGGAGGAGGAGGTGCTGGCCTTAGATGTCGCCGACGAGGATGACGAGGATGGAGAGAGCGAGGAGGAGGACGAGGACGACGAGGACGGGAGCTCCGAGCAGAGTGAGACCGACGTGGATCCCAGTTTATCCTGGGGTCAGAGGAAGAAACTCTACTACGACACGGACTATGGCGCCAAGCCCGGGCGCAAGCAGAGCCAGCAAGAGCTGGAGGAGGAGGAGAAGGAGGAGGAGGAGGAGGCCCAGCTCATTCAGAGGCGCCTAACCCAAGGCCTCCAGGAGGACGATTTTGGCATCACCTGGGTGGAGGCCTTCGCCAAACCCGCGCCGCAGGAGAAGGAGGAGGTCGAGACGCGGGTCGTCCAGGACCTGTCGAAAGTGTCCACGAAAGAGAAGCTGAAGATGCTGCAGAAGGAGTCGCCGGAGCTCTTGGAGCTGATCGAAGACCTGAAAGGTAAACTGAGGGAGGTGAAGGACGAGCTCGAGCCCTTGCTGCAGTTGGTGGAGCAAGGTGTCATCCCTGCTGGCAAAGGGAGCCAGTACCTGAGGACCAAGTACAACCTCTACTTGAACTACTGCTCCAACATCAGTTTCTACTTGGTCCTGAAAGCTCGGAGAGCCCCCGTGCACGGACACCCGGTCATTGAAAGGCTCGTCACCTACCGGAATTTGATCAACAGGCTGTCGGTTGTGGATCAGAAGCTGTCCGCGGAGATCCGTCATCTGCTCACGTTTAAGGATGAGCCTGACAAGCTCCGACTGCAGCTAAAGGCCCAGGCCGCCCGGATCCAGCCAAAATCGGCTTCAGGGAAAGGGGCCGCGACCACCGCAGATGATTCTGAGGATTCTGACTTAGATGAGGAAGCCGCCTTGAAATACTACAAGGAAATGGAGGAGAGAGAGAGGCAGAAGTTGAAGCGAAAGAAAGAGGACGATAGAGCTGAAGAACAGACTGCAGAAGATCCAAACGCCAAAAGAGCCATTACTTACCAGATTGCTAAAAATAGGGGGCTTACACCCCGGAGAAAGAAGATTGATCGGAACCCCAGAGTCAAACACCGGGAGAAGTTCAGGAGAGCGAAGATCCGGCGCAGAGGGCAGGTTCGCGAGGTGCGGAGAGAAGAGCAGCGGTATACCGGCGAACTTTCTGGCATCCGTGCCGGCGTTAAAAAGAGCATCAAGCTTAAATAAAGCGCTCGCTTACCTACAAATCTTTGATGATGCTTTTAGATTAATAAATTTTTTTACTTTCAATTGATGGTTATTGTGTTATGTACAGTACCTAACCAAGATTTTAAAAGTTCTTGCCTACAGGGACATTTCAAATATTGTTCTCTTACCTGTCCTTTTAACACAAGGTATACTGAGTTCTGTGGGAGCGTTATGGAGTATCTGGCAAAAGAAAGGAAAAAAGCGCAGTATTCTGTAAAGCAGGGACCTAGAGAAAGTTCACAGCCAGCTTTGCAACACCTCGCACCTTTGTAACAGTTCACATTTAGGAGAATGCGTCTTTGGCAATCATCTTGTTTTTAAGATATCCTATGAAATAGTCCTGACATATTTCATTTGCAAATTATAATTCCTGGCCAGGGCTGTGGTAAATGTTTAATGTTAAGGATTTTGTATATTTTGTATTTTGTATGGATAAAGCATAGGAATGAAGAGGAACGTGGGCTAAAAGTAGATGAGCACTTTGGTTATAAGTAGAGGGATATGCCTTAATTTAATTTTTCTGACTGGACTGTAATGTTATACGTAAGATGAAAATTCGATTTCCACTCCTGTGGAACCATTTGCAGTGGTTGCCGTTTGTCAGTTCCAATTGCCAGAAATCTAGTATGATTGCTAGGTTATTGGCATCAAGGGGTCACAGAGGTACAATGATGTTTAGACTCATTTTTATAATGAAGGAAAGTTTAAGATGATGATTTTTAAAATAATTAAGGGTGATGCCAGGGGAGAAACTGAGAGCATTAGGACTTTGTCCTAACTCTGTCACTATTTTATTACTTAAAGAGGTGCAGATGAGCAGTGGTTAATCTTCGAGCTTGCCGTGTACCAGTTATACATCACCCCATTTTACCTTTGTGCCTGTCCCTGAGACAGTGCAAACTGGGGTGCAGACTTTGTAAAAAGCTCACTCGCTTTTTTGCTCCATGCCCTTCAACCCCTACTCCCTTCTCTAAATACCCTGTGTACAGTGTTTTCTCAGAGCAGCGCAAGTGCCAAAGATTTTAGATTTTTATCTTTCTTTTCTTGTAAAAGAGGTAGGTTGGAAATAAAAGGAACACTGAATGCTAAGGTATGTTTGTAAGCACACTTTTTGTACTTATTTTCTTAAAATAAGTAGGTGGCAAATCCAATTTATTATCCTTATACTTAAAGATGAGGAAATTAGCAAAGTGAAGTAGCTTTCTCAAGGTCAAACTGCTATTAAGTAGCAGAGTCAGGATTTTAGCCTAGCCTTTCTGACAGCAGAACTTTAGCCTCTGTTTCCTTTTCTGGTGTAATAGTGGGGAAAAACCAGTTTTAGAACTTTCTTGGTTGAGTTATAAGTTCACCTTTGCAGCATTTTCTGGGTCTCAGTAGTGTTGTTACATCTGTCTTAAAGCAGTGATACAAACTTGTTAAAATCTATAAAGTAACAGAAAATGCTCTCTGCCTCCAGTTTTAGTATTAGAACTCTAAATTTCCATGTCCTTAGTTTTCAACCATAGGTCGGTTGAAAACCCATAAAAAAGGTTTAAAACAATGCCCTGGGCGATAGAGTTACCAAGAACATGTTTAGTTCCATTGAGAACTCTGGAGAGGCTTCCGGATGGGGGCTGGTCACCGTGGTTAGAAATTTGGAATTTCCCATATTCTCATTTTCCATTCCCCAGAAGGCCCAAACATGTAGTGAATATGATATCTTCCAGAGGATTCTTCACAAAATCCCAGCGGTTTGGAACTCAGGAGTTCCCAGGGTGGAGGGGGTCAGCGAAGCAGCTGTGCTGGGACAGGCCCTGGCTCAGCCCAAGATACTTCACTCTGGCTATTTTACTGTATCCTGTAATATCCTTAATACACTGGTAAATACATTTTTCTTAGTTCTGGGGGCCATTCTAGCAAATTAAAGTTACAGAATTATTTATAATCAGATTAGCTCAAGTGAGAACCTCGACTTTTGATTGGTATCTGGATTTGGGGACATGGCTGGCAGTCGTCCAGGGCTAGGCCCTTACCCGTAGGACCTGGCCCTCTCCAGGTAGTGCCAGAATACAGTTTATAGGACACCTGATAAAATTACAGAGGATTGCTTGGCTGGAGAAGCCTACATACCCGGTTTTATAGATCTCTAGTAATGAAAAACAGGTGGGAAATTGTTTCCAGTCACTGCACACCAGCATCATCTGAATCAACTGGAAAACCTGGAGCTGGATAGCTCAGTGGGCTGGACTGCATGCTTTACAGGCAGGACACCAACTCTAACTCCCTGCACCACATAATGCCACTAAATCTGGAGCTGGGTGTGGCTCCACAAAACAATAGAGAAGTAAATGAATATCTGTAAAGCACTTAAAATAATGCCTAATAATTACTGGCCCTTACTGAGTTACTAGGATTAACATCTGACACTGAAATGCTCAACAAATCATAGATAATGGTATAGCCACTTGTGCCAATTACAAAAAATATAGTGTGAAAGGCTAGGAAACTGGAGAGACAGTACAGGGGCAAGGAGTTTCCCTGCTTGTCGCCAAGCAGGTTTTAATCCCTAGCCCCTTGTGGTCCCCAAGCACTGCCAGGAGTGATCTCTGAGCACCAGGAGAGTAAGCCCTGAGCAGGGCCTGAACAATAGTACAACAAGTAGTGCACTTTGCTTGCATAAGGCTAGCCTGGATTTGGTTCCCAGCACCTGATATGGTCTCCCAAGCCCCACCAGGAATAACCTTAGGCACTGCAGGGCATGGCCCAAAAATGAAAAACAACAACAAAAAGGCGTTGAATAATGCCAGGTGTGTGACTCCACAAACAAAAAATTAAAGTTTTTAAAACACTTCCCACAGGAGAGCAGGAAAGAACATACGCTCCCCGCTGCCACCACCCCTTTTTCACCTCACGAATCATAATGATGAACATATAACACTATTTGAACAGTAGATGATTAAAAAAAAATTCAAACTGAAATGTACTGCAGCAGGTATTGTTTTTTAATTATTCTAGAGTCCTTTTAAAAAACTTTTATTCTGCCATTGAAAGTTTAGATAGTTAAAAATTAACACTTGAGGGGCTTGAGAGATAGCACAGTGGGTAGGGCGATTGCCTTGCATGCGGCCGACCCGGGTTAGATTCCCAGCATCCCATATGGTCCCCTGAGCACCGCCAGGAGTAACTCCTGAGTGCAGAGCCAGGAGTAACCCCTGAGCATCGCCGGGTGTAACCCAAAAAGCAAAATAAATAAATTAATTAATTAACACTTGACATCAAATGTTAGGGTGTATTTTACGAATTTTTTTGGTGAAGCAAGAGTCTTACTGAAACTTACTTAGAAAGATGTGAGGGGAGAGAGAGGGAGAAGGGAGTGTTTAAGAGAGAACACAGGCTTCTCCAGAGTGAAGAAAGCAAGGAAAGAAACAGGGACATGCAAGTGAAGTACGCATGTTCAAGGGAGAACGTGGGCTTCAAGAGCAAGCGAGGTGAATTTTAAATTTTGCTTAAAGAATATTTTAAATTTTATTATTGAATCACTGCAAGATAGACCCTTACAGAGCTAGTCACGATTAGTTTCAGTCATACCGTGTTCCAACACCCATCCTTCCACTTGTGACATTTCCCAGCACCAGTGTCCCCAGGTTCCCTCCCATCACCCCCTCACAACCCCATCCCCCAGTCTGCCTCTATGGCAGGCACTTTTTTCTCTTCCCCCGCCCCTCCCTCCCCTCCCCTGCTCATTTGGGCATTGTGGTTTGCATTACAGATATGGAAAGGTTATCAAGAATATCCTTTTACCAACTTTAACACTCAGTTCTTGTCCAGAGTGATCATTCCCAGCTATTGTTGTCATAGCGGTCTCTTCTCTATCTTACCTACCCTCCTCCCCACACACAGCTGTGGTTGATTCCAACCATTGGCCAGTCCTCCTAACCCCTGTTTTCCCTGGTCATGGATCTTAGTCTTCAACTATATATTTTTTATGTACCACAAATGAATGTAGTCATTCTCTCTCTGTCCCTCTCCTGATTCATTTCACTTAGTCTCTCCGTCCATTTATAGGCAAATTTCAGACTTCATTTTTCCTAACAGCTGCATAGTATTCCATGAGTGTACTTTTATATTGAATTTTTTGTTTGTTTTTGGGTCACACCTGGCGATGCACAGGGGTTACTCCTGGCTCTGCACTCAGGAATTACTCCTGGTGGTGCACAGGGGGGACCATATGGGATGCTGGGAATCGAACCTGGATCGGCTGCATGTAAGGCAAACGCCCTACCTGACTGTGCTATCGCTCCAGCCCCTATAATGAATTTTTTATTTGATAATTACTTTGCCTATATATTCTAAATGTTTTCTTGATTCAGCTGTATCTGAAGAACAACAATGATTTTGCACTTGCTTCAAAGGGAAGCTTAAAATATTTAGTAACTAGTAAGGATATTAATATTAAATAATAAAAATCAGCAATCTTGGATGAAAGAGATGTAGAGGGTAAAGGTGCTTGCCTTGCATCCTTGGAACCACATTTCCCTGAGCACTGCGAGGAGCAGCTGCCAAGCACAGGGCCAGGGAGTAGCCCCTACCCCGCCCCCGAAAGCTACTTGGCATTTCCCAAAACTACAAAACAACCTGGAAGAAATTAATAACAATGCTGTGCTTTAAGAGAAACAATGAGGAACTTGTTCCCTAGAGCCAGACGGTTAGCTTTTTTTATATACACTTTTTTAGTCAGATAGCAATGGTTTGCACCTATATAGTATTTTTGGGGTGTAATTTCATGCTTCAAAGTCTATGTTACCACATCACCCGTCCCCTACTGGCCACTGAAGTCTCTTTCTCTCTACCACATCTTCCCTCCCACTGCATTCCCTCCTCAGGGAAGCACAGCCGTCACGTCCACTGTGCTTGTTTTCACTTGGTTTTGTTATTCTTCTTGCTTTGCTTCTGTCTAGCCCACCTCGAAGTGGCACCATCTGAGACAGAGCTGTCTTTCCCTTTCTGGCTTTTCCCACTTGGTGTGACACCCCCTCTCCCGACCTCTCCTTTCATCC